GGTCCAGGGGAGGGCAAGGAAGATGCTGAAGGGACTGGAGCACCTCAGGGATGAGGAAAGGCTGAGGGAGTTGGGGCTGGTCAGCCTCGAGAAGAAATGACTGAGAGGGATCTCATTAATGGATTCAAGTCCAGCACCCCCCGGGGCAGTCCATTCCAGTGTCTAATCAGCCTTTCTGTGAAGAAACTCCTCCTAATGCCCAACCTAAAGCTTCCCTGGCACAGCTTAAGACTATCCTGTTGATGTGATGGTGGCCTGGGAGAAGAGGCCAAACCCCATCTGGCTGCAACCTCCTATCAGGTATTTGTAGAGATAGATAAGGTCTGAGCCTCCTTTTCTCCAGGCTAAACAGCCCCAGCTCTCTCAGCCTCTCCTCATAAGAGCTGTGCTCCAAACCCTTCACCAGCCTCGTTGTCCTTCTCTGGACATTAACTCATCCCAGTGGTCTTCACTACTCAAGATTGCCCAGCAGAGTTCAGAGAGTACTCCAAGAGGTCACTTGCTGTAAAAGTAATTCTAAGCTTAGTTTCTGTATCTTCCATAATTAACAGTGCTGCTGAACACAGAAAAGGAAAAATTAACAAACCTTCCTGTTTGTTTATTTCTTCCAAGCTTCTCTTCATTGTTAGTTTCGTATCTTCATCCTCTTCGCTGTCTGAACCTTAAATGCACAAATAAAACATGAATTACACATGGTTTCTAATAAAAATATTAACAGTCTCTTGCACTTCTGTTACAACACTGAAGGTTAGATTTGAAGAAATACACTTATGATCTAAATATCAAGCTAAAACCACATTACAATGGTAGGTTAAGACAACAACTCAAGAGGCAGTTATTTTTCAGCTACCTTCTTCCCCTTCTCCCCAGAATCTAGAGGCAGATTGCTTCAATTTTATGTTATAAAGCAGTGACAAGTAGTAATAGGTGCAGAATCCACTGTGTCTACAGCATTTGGGGTTTTTTTTGTAACACTGTTATTATAGAAAGTGAGTAATGTCATTTTTGAAAGAGTATCAAGGATTTAATGATGGGAAAAAGTGCTAGAAGGTGTCTCTGCCTACATGACTGCAGCTGCATTTTGTTGCCCAAATCCTGCACGTGAACAATGGAGTGCTATAACTCAGCTGAGCTGTACAATTCAGCAGATGTTGTTGTTCAAGGCTCATAGAAGCAAAAAGTGATACACTTAGTCTGGTCTGCTAACTCATCACGACTCAGCCCAGCCAAAACTCCACCACCTTTCCTCTCTAAATCACCTTCACAAGGCTGGTTTCCAGGTCCAGAATGACAGCTCTGTTTGGAAGTGTCTAGCAGGGACTGGTGTACCTAAGGTGCTTTCAGTTGGATTTTTTCCCCCCATTTGTTTTAAATAGCCTCAGTAAAATACAGGTTAAACCATAAACAAGCCAGTGAGTCACATTGTGTATTCATTCTCCTGCTACAGGCCATTTCTATTTTGGGAGATGGTGTCTGTAATGAGGTCTTTCAGTATTAGCAATCAACCAGGTCTCCTGCAGTCATCCCAACAGAAGCATTTCCCTTCAAGTCATCACATTTATTAGGACACCCATGTACTTCTGATTACATTAACCAGCAAAGAACATTCCAATGTGGCCATCTAATTTACTGGGTGACTTCTGGCACTTTCCAGTTACCCAACTTAGGTATTCAAAGTGTCAGGTATGCTTTCAAAATTTGTTTTCAAGCCTCTGACATATATACCTTGTCTAAACAGCAACCTTGCTGACTTTCCCAATTCCAGGAATACAAACTCTACCAGCTGGTGTCAAACAGTGATCAGCAGCCCACAAAGATGCCAAAAATAGATGGATATACACTGCAGTTAAAAGGGTCTCTCTGCAGTCACTTGGCAGACTGACTGTGAACCCTTTTTAGAGCTGCTCTGGGCAGAAGAGATGCTACTTTTCACATCATCTTCCAAAGCAAACAAAACAAAAGAAAGAAAAATCCACAACTCCTCCCCCCCAAAAAAAGGAAGTCATTGCAATTACTTACTTAGTAGCTAGACAGCAAGAACTATTATTGTGGAACTCATCACTTATCAACCAAAGAGAAGGAAAGGCAAACTGATTGAACAGATGCATTTTTAAGTCAGAAGACATCAGGATGCTTTTCCACATGGGACAGGTCATTGTGCTTGATCCAATGCTGCTCCTAGTGGGTCTGCACCCTGTGACTGATCTCTGCTCTCAAGAAGATCTTGGATGCCAGTTAAGCATGTGCTCCATGCAAATATCATAGAATTGCTTGTGTTGAAAGGGACATTAAAGATTACCTAGTTCCAACCCCCGTGGCCACCACTGTATCAGGGTGCTCATAGCCCCATCCAGTCTGGCCTTGAACACTCCCAGGCATCAGGTATGCACAGCTTCTCTGGGCAACCTGTTCAAAGTGCTTCACTACCCTCTGAATGAATACTTTCCTTTTAAGTTTTTCCACTTTTAGTTTAAGTACTGCAAGGCCACAATGAGGTCTTCCCAGAGCCATCTCTTCTCCATGCTGAACAAACCCAACTCTCTCAGCTGGTCCTTACAGGAGAGATGCTCCAGCTGCATCAGGTATGCACAGCTTCTCTGGGCAACCTGTTCAAAGTGCTTCACTACCCTCTGAATGAATACTTTCCTTTTAAGTTTTTCCACTTTTAGTTTAAGTACTGCAAGGCCACAATGAGGTCTTCCCAGAGCCATCTCTTCTCCATGCTGAACAAACCCAACTCTCTCAGCTGGTCCTTACAGGAGAGATGCTCCAGCTCTCTCATCAACTTTGTGGCCTCCTCTGGAACTAACAGGTTAAGTACTGCAAGGCCACAATGAGGTCTTCCCAGAGCCATCTCTTCTCCATGCTGAACAAACCCAACTCTCTCAGCTGGTCCTTACAGGAGAGATGCTCCAGCTCTCTCATCAACTTTGTGGCCTCCTCTGGACCCACACTAACAGGTCCATGTCTTTCTGGTACATACACAGCTGGTTCCTGACTCCCATCTGAACTTCATGTCACTGATCACCATGTTCCAGGTCTGGCCATTCAGCCAGTTTTCAATCCACCTCTCTTTTCTCATGCAGCCCAAGCTGCATCAGCACATACTCCTGGCACTGCTGGCATCTACTGGTGATGAATGTTTAATTTTGGGAAGTCAAGTGTGTCTTATCTGTCTTGTTAAAATGCTTAGCACACACTGTAACTCCCAACTCCTCTGGGGTCAGAGGAAAAGCAGCTGCCCAGTTTCTCAGCCAAGAGATCTTAAGGTATAGCCTCTTCCTCTAGTACACTTTGTTAAATAAACATCAGCTGAGAAATTCTGACTGTACCTACTCTCTCAAAAGAAATCCTGCTGCTC